TAAATCTTCTGGAGGAGAAAGTAGGTAGAAATCTTAAAGACATAGAGGTAGGTAGAGAATTCCCAAACTCTATGGGAAGTATTTCAATGAATCAACAATTGAGAATTAATTGTTTTGAAAAGTTTCTGCTTGTCAAAAGAAATCACCAACAGAGTAAAAAGAAAACCCATAAATTGGGAGAAAATTATAACCAACTGCCCTTCACACAAAAGTCTTCTAACTAGTACATAAAGAAATAAAAAAAATATATATCAGGTCTCCAAAATTCAAAGACCAAATCCAAAAATGGGCATCTGAGATGAATATATACGTCACAATGAAGAGATACAAATGGCCAATAAATATATGTATGAAACCATGTTCAACATCATTGGTCATTCAAAAGATGTGAATTAAACTGATGCTGAGATTCCATCTCACACCACAAAGAATGGCTTTCATCAAGAAGTCAACCAATTACAAATGCTGGAGAGGCTATGGGGATTAAGGAACACTTCACACTGTTGGTGAGAGTGAAGCCTGGTCTAACCACTGTGGAAATCAGTGTGACGATTCCACAAAAACTAGGAGTGGAGACCACATTAAAACCAGATAGTCCCCTCCTAGGTATTTTTCTAAAAAACTGAAAATGTAATGCCACAGTAATATACATGCACCCATGTTTATAGCAGTCTAATTTGTCATAGCTAAATCTTGGAAACAACCCAAATGCCCATCGACTGAGGAATGGATTAAAAAAAGATGAGGTATTTTTACACAACGGAGTATTACTCAGCTATAAAAAACCTAAACTCAAGGCTTCTATAGGTAAATGGATGGAACTAGAGACTGTATTGGTAAGTGAAATAAATCAGACCCGCATGTGCAAGCATTGTATTGTTTCACTAGCGAAAGAACATGTAAGAGTAAATAAAATCTGAATGGTACAATAAATACTATGAAAGGGAAAGAATCTTTTCAATGGGAAGGAAAAACTGGGATGAGGAAAAGGACAAAAGAAAGAAGGGAAAAAGATACATTAATGTATATATGCAGGATAGTTTGAATAACTGTACTGCTGATTTGTGTTGGCTTATTGAAAGGAGCAGTTAATGCTTAATTTTTTAAAAAATATTCATTAATTTAACTTTTTCTTCTTATTAATTTCTTATAACTTTTTTCTTACCAATTTTGCAGGTTTATATCTGGTAACCTAAACAACTAATCTGAAGATAACATAATACAATTAAACAACAACTGTCAAATTCCTATTACTTTGTTTAGTGAAATTTTGCATTATTTCTATTGTTTTTTTTTACCATTTTGTATTCTTTAAAAAATAAAAAACAAAATAATCAAGCATGAAAAAAGAATAATACAATAGTAAACTACTTGAGATGTTTCAATTCTATCACTTACTAGTCTCACATTTTGTTCTGAATGAACTCTAGACCTCTGAAGTGATTTATTAATGACAACGTAATTATTCCTTTGTTAAAATTTACTTTTTCTATATTTTAGAAAACATATTTGATGTATTTAAAGCTTGCAATAGTCCAGCTTATGTCATTCTGTTTTGACCATTTGTCAAGATCTGTGTCTCACAAGTTCTACTGTGAAATAATGTAATTGCGATTACAGGCATCTCACATTTTGTAAACAGCGTGAGTTCCAAATCTTCATTGGTTGGTTGTTTGGAATCACTGCGTGTTTTCCTATTGACCTAATCGAGTGAAAGATGGTTATTTCCCAATCTGGCATTTTCTTGTTCATTTGGCCTACTTCTTCCTCAGTTCCCGAAACAAGAAAAAAAAAAGGAAAACCTTCCTGCAGGGGGCTAATGGTGGTTAAATTTTTGACTTACAGCATGTGAGAAATGGAAAAAAGGCTTTTAATTTAATACACAACAACTTGACAGGTTACAAAGTAAGGCCACTCCCATTGGTGAGGCTACTCTTAGCTTCCCAAAGCTTTTCTCTCGTGAATTCATTTTCTATGCTTCTCTAGTGGTGATGCATGAATAAAAGAATGGATGGGAAGGGGGAGGGTCTCTTTGTTGTTTTGTAGGTGCATGATGTGCATCCCCTAGTATCTAGTGGTACCTCTAAAAAGCGGTGGCAAGTCTGTGAATGCCAGTGCCTTAATGTTACTTCAATTTCTAATGATTCAAAATTCTTTGGTTGTTAGTGTTTTGCCTCATATTTCTCTGTAGCTAAAAATTTCACTAATAAAGTATTTTACAGAGTATACTCCTTAAATTTAGTCTTAGCTGATACATAAAAAACATGTTACATATTAATGAGGTATCATATGATGTTTTAGTATATGTATATATTTCATTATGTTTAAGTCAGGCTAAACATAACTATATCCTCAAACATTTTTTATTTCTCTGTGGTGAAAACTTTTCAAATCCTTTCTTTCAGCTTTTAAAAACTACACTATATTACTTTCTGTAGTCCCCCTACTTTGCCACAGCATGCTTCAATTTCTTACTCCTATATAACTATACATTAGTGCCCATTCATCAACCTGTGCTTCCTCCTCCCTACCCTCTACTCTCCCTAAATGTGCCACTTTTTAAAGGAATTCCATATAACAGTTTTTTCTTTATAACAACCTTGAAAGTATGACCATCTTTTGTTGTACAAATTTTATAGATGAAAATGTAAAGATTTGAGATATTTGGAATTTTTACAAACCCAAAGGCCAAAAACAACTACAGTGAATGTCTTCTATATCCAATTCTAGGGCTATTTCTTCCATAGTTCACATCCTTGTCAATGTCATGTCTCCTTCTAGACTCAAATGCCATAAAGAGAGAGATTATTATTTTGCTACATTATTCTCAGCAACCAGATCCCAATGTAGTTTTAGTAGACACCAAATAAATATTGAATAAACAAATTTCAGTCATGCTTATCTTAATAATTTGAATAGCCATGCTATCTAATTCTACTGGTTCAAATATAAGTTTTTGAATTGTTTTCATATTTATGAGACAAAGGATAAAAGCTTATTAAAAGCACAAGCTCATTTTCTACCACAACTGTTAGGTTAAAGACGGAGTCACTGAAGCCTTCCATCTGTTTTCTGTTAGCCAGCTCACTGGTAGAAATGGAATACAATATTAGAAAACATATATAGGCTTATTTTTGCTCTTTTGCGTGTGCTTCATATCCATTCCAAAAATGCAAGAAGAGTTCTCAGACTTGGTAAGGAATGAGCGGCTACACAATGACAAAATCATACGAGCAGCTAGAACTGCCAAAACTTGATAGTGAAAGTCTGTGGCTCTGCGGAGATTGTTCAGAATGAACTTCGGAATAAACAACTTGAGTTTAAAATTTAACTAGCTCCTGCATTATCTGACAGTTGACTCCTCACATTATCTTCACTCTAGTTTTTAAAAATGAAGCTGTAGGAAAGAACATATTCTACAATCATCACTACTTGAGGTAAAACAATCAGACCTGATGTTTTCCATCTTGTTTTCAGGCACTGACTAGAAAGGCCAAAATGAAGGTTGACCATCACCCCAAATACCACTTGTCAGTGGTTGGAATCTTTACATAGTTCAGGGGAAGAAATAAAATCAAAAAAAGGAGATGAAAAGAAGAATAAAAAAAAAAAACCCAACCCCTAAAGAAAGGGGGGGAAACCCTTTCCAACAGCTGTGCTTTATTTTCTGTATAAGAATTTGTCTTAACCTTGGCATAATTTTATGCAATAAATGATAACAAATATTCATCAGACAACTATATGCTTCAGCTCTATGCAAGATATTGTTTGGATCTTTGCCAAAACTCTAGAGGCAGTTTCTATTATTTTGAAGAAAAGGAGGCCTAGTGCTCAGGGAAACCTAAGTAGAAGTCAATCTAGCAAGGACTTGAAAAAACTTATGTAGAAACAAGGGTCCTTATACTTCACCTTGACAATATATTGCCTCCCAAAGAACTGTGGTGTGTGTGTGCATGCGCGCGCGTGTGTGTGTGTGTGTGTGTGTGTGTTGGACCACAGACAAGCTGAAATCAAAAATTATATTTTCTTGCTTGCACATTGGTTGCTACCATTGTCCTCTAAATTCTATTAGCCAGCTTATAGAAAGTCAATGAACAGAATGTGAATGACAAAGTAGAGAGCACCCAATGTGTAGAACAGGACAAAACAGAAGATCCCAGGTACATATTGATATATCAAGTAGCTATGGTGTGAGTTTTATCACTACAAGTACTTTTAGAAAGGAGTAATTACACATACTGTATCCCATCACCTAGCTCATATCTCAGCCTGTGCATCTTATGTCCTATTGCTCTATAATGGAAGGAAACACTTCGAATTCTGGTTGCCCTTCTCTAGGCAAAAACGTAACATAGAAGGATCCAGAAAGTCAGAAGTCCCTTCATACAGTAACATGGGAGTTGAGCACCCGTCAGCCACCCCACCAGCTCCCAACTCATCCTACAACCTTAGTAAAAGAGAGGAAAGAGATTTACCTGCTTCTATTGAGGCTGAAGCCTGAAAGTCATGTATAACTTTTGAAGGACTGTAATGGTTTTAATCACAGGAATAGCAACTTTTTGACAAGCAGGCAAGAGAAAAGAGCCACACTGAACCACTCTGCAAATATTAACCAGGCTATTTTGGAGCAATGGCTATTGCCTTTGAAATCTTTCATCATGACTCTATACTTAGAATTCTGATGAGCCTAGGGGGAGGGCAAGGGGACAGTGTTAATCCCCAGTTGTTTTGAAGTTGTCCTGTAAGCAGGTTTACTGTCTAAACTGTCCCCAGTGGAAACATTCAATGCTTTGGTTAAATTATGCGATTCTGTGCATTTCCTCTTAACCTGTTTCTCCCATAGATGGTCATATCACTCTGGGAGGTGACACTTCTCAGTTTTCTTTCAAACTAGATGTTCTAGAGAGCAGTGGCTGTAGTCACATTGGGAGACTGATGCTCCATGACAGCTAAAAGTTGGATTGAGTTTCAGGAGCTACTATATATAAAGCTAGGTCGCCTTATGTCACCACACTAATTAAATGCCATCTGGGTGGTTCCTCTGGGTTTTTGAGCCCATCACCCAGTTCAGATCGCATCAGAGGCCAAGAAAGAGAACATGATGATGGACCTTTTTGAAACTGGCTCCTATTTCTTCTACTTGGACGGGGAAAATGTTACCCTGCAGCCCTTAGAAGTGGCAGACGGTTCTCCTTTGTATCCAGGGAGTGATGGTACCTTGTCCCCCTGCCAGGACCAAATACCCCCGGAGGCTGGGAGCGACAGCAGCGGAGAAGAGCACGTCCTGGCCCCCCCGGGCCTGCAGCCTCCCCACTGCCCCAGCCAGTGCCTCATCTGGGCCTGCAAGACCTGTAAGAGAAAATCTGCCCCTACCGACCGCCGGAAAGCTGCCACACTGCGTGAGAGGAGAAGGTTAAAGAAAATCAACGAGGCCTTCGAGGCCCTGAAGCGGAGAACAGTGGCCAACCCCAACCAGAGGCTGCCCAAGGTGGAGATCCTGCGGAGCGCCATCAGCTACATTGAACGACTGCAAGACCTGCTGCACCGGCTGGACCAGCAGGAGAAGATGCAGGAGCTGGGGGTGGACCCCTTCAGCTACAGAACCAAGCAAGAAACTGTAAGCCCAGAGACACCGGCAGGGACTTCGAAGGCTGATTACTGGGCTTCAGCTGTTTGCTTGTTCCCTTCTCCCTCCCCATGGCTCGCCTGCCCCTCCTTATCTGTAACAAACCCCCAGTGACCCACGAAGACCGGGTGCCTGCAATAGGCAGGAAATGGGTACCGGCCCAAGGAAGCAGGATAGACAACCCCAGAAAGCACTCGTTCCCCCGGAATTTCTGTTTCTCTCTTAATCTTCCGCTTTGGTTTTTCCCTCCAGCTCGAGGGTGCGGATTTCCTGCGCACCTGCAGCTCCCAGTGGCCTAGTGTTTCGGACCATTCCAGGGGGCTGGCGATAGCCGCTAAGGAAGGTAAAGTAAAAGAGCCCAGAGCATCGCGGGAGGGAACCGGGGTGCTCGTGCCGGCTGGAGGGGTCGAGCAGCTGTGGATTGGGGGCGCAGCCCTGCTCCCGCCTGGAGGGGAGCGCGCGGCCCTGGCTCTGCCCCAGCGCCTTTCCGCCTTTCCGGGGTGCAGAGGGTCTGGCCTTCCTGGAGCGCTATGCTCTTGAGCGTTTGTTTCTGTCCTTAGGCGGAGCAAGCCTTGATTCGTCGGCCTCAAGCAGCCTTCGATGCCTTTCTTCCATCGTGGACAGTATTTCCTCGGAGGAGCGCAAACTCCCGTGCCCTGAGGAGGTGGTGGAGAAGTAACTGCCCTGGAGAGCGCTGGGGACCTTTCAGCCCAGGAGCAGGGAGATCCCACGCCTCCTCCTCCTCCTGTAGATTAGGTCACGTTACATTAATATTTAGGAACTCAGATTTCAGCGGTTATGAAAGGGGAAGAGACATATTCACGAAGAATCTACTCTGCACATTCAAATGCAAAAGGCCTTTTGGCTTTGGGCTTTTGTTCTTGGGAACCTCCAGTGGCTTAGGTATAATGCCCTTCTTTTTGTTATTGTTTAGTTTTGTTATAGATTCACTTTTGTTACAGTGATTCTTTTGTGCCACCGCACAAAAGAAACTCATTCCTGTCTGAAGCGAAGTGGGAACGTGGAGTGCTAGTGGTATTTAAATGTATTTTTGTAAATAATCTTAGTACTTTCTTTTTTATGTAAACCTAAGAAATATATTTTAAACGTGGAATGATGGATTGTATATAAAACGTGTGAGGATCCTGGTGTTGTAATATTAAAAATAAGTTTCTATATAAATAAAGTTGGCCTTAATTTGATTCAACTGAGAAAATATGTCTGAGGGCAACAATAAAGAGAAGAAATATTTTAATTTAGACACTGAACAAGCACATTTATTGAAGTGTTCTTTTCATAAAGATTTAAAGGCTGGAAAATGAGTTCTCTTGTTTGGTCTGAATTAAATTGAGCACTTCAATATTTCATGTAGATCTCACACTTATGATTGAGTGTAAAGAATATTCAGAGGGAATGTGTATATTTTCTTTTGTCATCCTCTTTTCTGCTCTATATATTGGCAATCTGGGTAAGATTTACACACCAAGGGTAACAAGTGAATGTTCACTCTAGCCAAATCTTACTGCAGAAAACTGCAAGGAAAAGTCTTTGCTTAGTTCCCTATATAGTAGTTCCCTCCCTGACATTCCAGGTTGTTTCCAAGAGTAGTCTGGCATATGCAAGAGCTGCACTGGCCTTCTCCCCTAGTTTTCTTGAACTAGACTGGTCCCTGGCTGACAGTCATGTCGTCAAGGCCTCTTGGGCTTGGGTTTGTTTTCCAAATAGAAAGATAAAAGAAAGGCGCAATCTGTCTCTTGAGGAGAGGGGCTGCTCCAAGAGAGGGAAGGGTTAAATGGTTGAAGGGAAAAGACAACAACAACACACATGAAACCTCTTAGCTGGGCCAAACAGCAAAGTCCCAGAGAGGGTAGAAGCCCCAGGAGTTCCTCACCATGAGGATTTTACAACGTGTGCCAGGTTTGTTTATCTAGTAACCTCAGGAAGAAGCGACCACCAAGAAACACAGTGGGAAGTATAGCAGAGGACAGGAACAAGCCGGTTTTTTTTTTTTTTTTTTTTTTTTTTTTTTTTAATTACCACATCTCTTACATTCTGCAAATAGTTCCTCTGCTCCCTTCCCTGGTTCCTTAAATTCTACCTTCTGTGTTACGCTATAGCTAGTCTTCAAATCAAACAGAATTTAGTATTCTGCAGCCCAACCTTACTTCCTGGCTCTTAAATGGATGTACCTTACAGTTTATTACACTCTACAGAAATTTCAGATTTTGAAATATTTATGTAGACATTGTGGTTAATCCTCTCTAATCCAAAAAATCTAAAATCTGGAATGATCCAAAATCTAAAATGTTTTGAGTTCTCTGACAGAAGTCCAAATGTTTGCATTTCAGAATATTCCAGAATTTGAATTTTTGGATTAGGCATGCTACACCTGCAGTTTGCTTTATTAATATATGGATAATTGCATTCATTCTGAAATACTTTCAAATTGTAAATTCATAAAGAAAATGGACATTGGCATACAATCCCTTTTAAAAGCTTTGGAGAAGAAGGTGGAAGGTTTAGTGGATGCAACTGCTGAACTTCCAGGAAGCTGACTGCCTGAATTAAATCCAGGCAGCTGTTGCATTGCCCTGGAGTAGTCACTTCCTAGTTCTTCTTCCTCGTCAGGTGCCTGGCTCTTGAGGTCATGAAGATGCACGTGTAAAGTACCAAGCCAAAAGAGGGCACAAAATAAACGCTAGACACCAACTCTCTATAGTTTTTCACTAGTAAAACTCAATTAACCATTGAGAAGTTTTTCTTCCACCAAAAGTCATGATTATTTCAACCTGTGCTGGATTTGGCTGGGGAAAATATTTGCAATAATGACCCAATTTTAGTGGGTTTTATATCATCTAATAATCCTAACAACAGCCAATAAGAGAGGTACTGTGACTACTACTTCAGAGAAGAGGATGCCTTGGAATAGAGACGGCCCACCATCTACTAAGTAGAGGACCAGATCTCAGAGCCAGGCAGTTATAAATGGCTGTACGCATCCTCTCTCAGAACTGCCATGAGTCCTGAAACAAACCTTGCGATGTTAGAAGGATTTTATGGTCTTTCGAATAATTTGGCTCATTTTGACTATTGTTTCCCAACAATCTCTTTTCCTAAGAGTGGCTAGCTACTGAACTCCAAATTAGAACAATAGCTTTCTTTGAGCAATAAATGATAAAGCACTTACCAATCAAATTATCTGACCAAAAATTGTGTGAAATATCTGAGTGGCATGTATTCCCCATTAACCATGCATATTGTATATCTATGAATTTTTCCAGAATATCAGTAGGGATTTGCTGTAAAATGTATGTGTAGATAGTTATCTACATTTTTAAAAATCAAATTCATTAGCTGAAATAATCCATCATAATTGATTAGCCAAACTCATTTTTATGGTTGTGTTTGTATGTATAGTAAGATTTGTGTTATAAATTGTTCAGCAGCAGAACTTTTTATTACTTCTTTGGTAGCCCGCTGATTGATTTTATTTGGTCTTTTCAAAGCAAATCCTTTCTATCTTTCTTAGCGAGGTAACTTGAGAAATTGTTTGGAGTAAGTTTGCCTATGGAGGGTCTCTTCATTAAATAGAGAAAATATTTCCCAAAGACTCTAAGTGACCTCCCCTGCTATAGCTGACATATTGGACTTTCCAGTGGAATTCTGGGTGTGTTTGCAATTAAAATGTTTTTGTTTGATATTAATGATGATAATCTTTACCAAGGCCAAAGCCAAAACAAACAGGACTGGCTGAAACAGAAAAATCCAGTCATAATAACTTGGTGAAATAAACAATTTGGGGTCCAATCCAAGCCTCTTTCTAGAGCTTTGTATAGTTTTCAAGTATAAGATAATGGATTGTTTTCTGTTATATTATTATAGAAATAATTGGTGGAACATCAGGTGTCAGCTTTCTCCACCTTACTTCAGCCATCATATACAATATGTTGAATTCCAGTTCTGTATATTGTGGAAATCCACTATGGTAGAAGTACTCAGTTTTCATCCAAGCTCTTTCATACATTCCTAGGGTTGGAGAAGCGCAGAAATTCAGTGTTTTGAACTACCATTGAAATTTACAAAGAAAACTTGGGTACTGAAAGTGACCTATCCTTATTAAGACATTTTCTTAATTTTAGAAGAATTCACCATTTGTGCTATCCCCTTTCTTCCTTTCGAAACCTCTCTTCCCACAACTCTATACCTGGAAGTTCTTTTTAATGCTTTGCTTTGAATATCTTACTGTTTAACAATGCATTAGTAAATTAACAAAAATTTGATATTTCCTCCCTTGTCTATGTTTCTAGTCATTCCCTTAATTACACTTACTGAAAAAAAGAAAAATCATTGGTCCTAGAGGGTTCTCTGTGCTAAAAGCAACTGTTTTGCACTAGTTCAGAATCACTCTGTGAGAAAGAATAGCTACGCAGCATGCTGGGACAAAGACAATGCTGTAAGAACTGGCTACTTTCTCTACTCTCAAGGCTGCTAAATGTCCTTCCTCAGTCCTTTGATCTCACTTGGGAGTCTCTGAATTCAAGCAAAGGCCAATGTCTTCCTCAGCTGTCTTCTCCACAAATTCTTTCAGCAGCTCTGGCAGGTACTAATGTGTTTACTTAGGTGTGCCCAGTTCCCAAAGCTGATAGCAGTTTGAAATTGTTCGGCACATTGTGAAATCGTGTATAATATTATCATATTATATCATGATCAAACCAAGAGTGGTTCTGTTAGAAGAAAAAGTTGGTGATGAACTGAGGGTCACTGCAGTTGAAAAAGGTTTATAAGTCTAAGTTGTTAGAAACTCAAACATGTGTCCCTCCTTATCCAGAATGCAAAGATTAAAAATATAAGAAAGTAAATGGTGCCTCTTCCTCATCAGCCTGGTGGAGAGTACTCATTTACAGCTCTGGCTGTGGTTCCTTTCTTCCCCTCGTCTCTTTGCTATGAGGCATTCCTAGCAGTGTTGGAAGGGTATTGCTAACAACCGCTTTACATATTAAGTTAATGTGAATTTTCACTGTATGCAAGATCCTCTTCACTGAAGGAATAGTGGGAAGCAAATTATAATTTAAGCAGCAAAATGCAGCCTAGCCTGTTGAGTAAAGTAGGGCACACTTAGAACTAGTTCATCTTTTTAAAAATAAAATTTAATTTTCTCCATGCTGCTTTGTTCTATTTCTCCATTCAAGAATTTTCCTCCATGTGACTCACCCAGTTCTCTCTCTCTCTTTCTTTTCTCTTTCTCAAGGTATCTCTTAGGAAGAGTAAAGAATCACTCCTGAACTGGAATCCTCACCATCTTGGAGGCACTGGTTTCCTTCCTTCTTTTGCACTGCTTTGTGCTTTCTGAACTCTTTCTTCTCCATCCCTGACAATGGTTTCAAAGTTTATCTCATTTTTTACTTTGGTGCCCTGAGAGCCTATTTTCAGCACTTCAGTCCCAAGGGCCCTCAACCCAGGACCCTGTCCCTTTCCCTCCCCTGGCTGGTTTCATTAAGCCAGGCACTTGTGTTTTCTTGGCTTCTTTAGTTCCACTGGCCCCAAGCACTCTGGTAAATTTGTTTTGAGATCACCTTACCAAAGACAGCTCTAACCTCTGAGAAGGTCTGCTCCTGAGTGACAGTGTCTTCCCAGGCATGGGAGCTGAGGGTGCAATGTCCACGAGCCAGCTTTTTGTGAGTTTCTGCTCTGAGCTCAAGGCTCAGGGCTCAGGTCAGAATTGATTGACGAAAACAAACAAAATCACTGCTAAGAGCATGATCTTTAAGGACAAGGGCCTAGTTTTCAATTCCAGTATGACCCGGGACAAATTACCCAAGCCTTATCGTTTGGTTTACCCTCTTTTAAAACACTGGGTCCGATTATAGTTCCTTGAAGGACTAATGGGGTAAACACATGGAATGGCTTAAGGAACAGTGTTCAGCAAGTAGAAAACTCTCGACATTTGCTGACTAAAGGGCATGAGTGCGAAACACCTTAAATGCTTTCAGAAATTAGCTGAAAGGCAGACAAAAGCATAACCTATGTCTTCCACTTCAAAGGCCAAGTTTATTTGTGTGCCAGTCACAACTCTGTTTTATTTTCTGAGTATGCTCTACTGCACTACTCAGGAGGAATGAAGTGGCTCTATGACTACTGACTGGAGCCTGTGGGACTAGGCTGAGAATTCTTCAGTGAACATATCTTTGCACAATTGCATTTC